AGATGCGCCTGGCAAGCTGACCCCCCACCCCCGAACGCGCCAAAGATCGACCGCACTTGCTTCCAAAAGCATGCAAGGGCCGACCATATGGTAGAACTCAGCTGGCTGGGCAACCCTACTTTTAGTGATGAAACCTCTCCCTTATCAGGCATTGGGAAGGCCTTTCATGAGCCGGTTCTTCTGGGTGTGGCTCACCCCGAAAACTCCGCTCCATTGAAACCATGGATTCAATTCTCCCAGTTTTTATTGTGGAGTTTCATCATCTGAATAGGGTCCTTTCCATTGTTTAAATCGGGGGATGAAGCCGGGGTAAAGTCGATGTGTCCGGAACCCTGGATGTTGGGCTGTTAGACGGACAACCAAATTTGTCTGTTGAAGGTGTATTCATGTGTATTGTATATATATATATATATATACATACTCGAGATGTCTCCTGTGTATGCATACATGTATACTCTAGCCTCTAGACTTTCCTATATGTGTCTATGCACATCCCGACTGAGATCTGATTCGGGCGCAGCAAAGTGGCCTGCAGCATCATCCACGTGCTTATCGTCCTTGGAATGCCATGGCAGGGTTGCCCTACAAGTAATCTTTCTGGTTTTCTAAAAAAGTCCTGACCGAGACGTTCATGACAATGCCTACCAACCTCAAGTAAATGGCTCGAAAACACAACAGCCCACACTTACAAACAAACAGGTGGGCCAAGAACCAGCGACGGCAGCGGCAAGCGCGGCGCTCGCACCTGCGTCGCTCGGCTCCGTGAAGTACACCCCCAGCTGCAGCAACGGCGGCATGTGCGACGCCGGCGCCGGCGCCGCGAGCAGCCCCGGCGCCGCCAGCGCCAGCTCCGCCGGCGCAAGTAATGTCGACTTCGATGTCTGCGCGGAAGGCTTGTGCGTTCTCTCATGTTCACTTAGGCGTCTTTGAGCAAAACACCCTCATGCATACCGACCGGAAGGTCGCTGAAAAACAACACACGTTCAGCCAGGGCCTTCCCTTCCGCTTCCCTAGAGAGCCCGGAAGCTGGGTCCATTGCTCAAATTGACCCTCTAAAATGGCGATTGAAAGGGAAACCGCCCCAGTAATTCTGAGCTCAGAATGTTCACAACTGAAAGGTGACGCTCAAAGTATCCCCGGACTCACGCCTCTTCTGCCTTCTCCTCGATGACTCCACACACTGGGCGGAGCGCAGCTTCACGTGAAGGACGAAGCATGGCGTGCCCCTTTTTTTTGGTCTTGTTGAGAAAGGTTCCCCTTTTTGCTGAATGCTTGGGGGAGCCTTTCAAACCCGTAAAGGTACCCTCCCAAAACAAGCATGGAAGTTGAAACAAGACCCCGTTTGGAGGAAAGTGTTCTTCTATGAAAGGTCCTTTCAGGCGCAACTTGTGTTTTCTGATCCAACAACTGAGGGTGGTCCTCACAAAAGGTCAAGCCCAAATTGTTGGTGTCCGGTTGGTGTCCCTGTAAGCACTCCCTTTTCAGGGGATATACGTGAACTGTGTGTGTGAATTCAAACCGTAGGCGCTGGGATGTGTCACCTGTCCTGACCGCTTTTCATAGATACTCTCAGCGAAAATGTTCGAGAAGTTCATGGTCAAAACCCCGTCAGAAGTGGTTGGTCGCACATTGGGTGTCCCTTTTAAACACCATCCGAGAGGGGGGTATCAACAGATGGGCCTCCAGGAAAATCTTCACCCAACATGTGAGCCAGTCATCCGAATGTGTAAGCTCCGCATTTCTCACCTGAGAGTGGGGGCGTCAATGCCAACAACTCACCTTAATCTTCACCCAACATGTGAGCCAGTCATCCGAATGTGTAAGCTCCGCATTTCTCACCTGAGAGTGGGGGCGTCAATGCCAACAACTCACCTTGGGGGTTGTCAACAATTTTTCCAATTTGGAGATTAACAGTATTCTATATGGGTCCGTCAAAACAGGGGACCCCAGAAATGTGTGGCTTTTTCTTGGTCTCCCGCTTAAAACAACCCAAAGGGGTGGCGACATTAGAACAGGGTTCCTGGAAGGAAACATCCACAAAACACATGTTTTACAACAGGCTCCTCGAAACAGTCGGTATTTCGGTCATGGTTTCCCTGGCCCATATATATATATATATATATATATATATATATATATATATGTGGGCTATATATATATATACAGTGTGCATATATATTTATACAGTGTGTATGTATATAGGCTATATATATATATACATCCTTTAAGGGGCCAAAACACGAAACGGGAGCTCACGGCTGCCAAAGAACTCCGGCGCAGCTTCTCGAGCTCCATCTGGAGGCTCTCATTGGCCTACATCGAAAAAATGACCCCAGCCGGGGGGAGGCTGGGGATGAGCTTCAGAGAAGTCATGGGGAGTCATGTGGCCATGGGTCAAAACCCCGTACCCCCAGTGAACATCCCAATCCCCGCTAAAATAGACTAAAATGGATGGTGCGCCTATCCCAAAATAGTACCATTGGTTTTGAACCATGGCCATGTGCCACTTCTGAGGTGGTCCCTTCTTAAATTGAGCCAAATTGGTTGGAACAGCCAGCTGCTCTTTCCGGAAAGCCAAGGTTGTTCAAACAATTGTCTAAACACCGGGTCTAAGGGAAGGGGTTGGTTGATTCCGCTGTGATACCAAGGTTTTGTCCGATGGAGAACTCGTCTATTGGAAGGCCTTTCCACCTGAGACAGGCGACCCCTTGTTCACAATCTGAAACATGCCCCAACCTTCTGATACTGTTGCCCCCACAATTCCATTGACACCAAAACTTACACACGGCAAAGGGCACCGTTCGAAGGTTTGTGCAAGCCCAAGCGAGACAATGGGTTTGCTCACCTCCACACTCCCGGTGCTTTTCATAGCGGCACCCCTTTCCAACCGCGGTCTCTCTTTTGTGCCTTTTGTGAGGGGTCGACCCCAAACCCATGCAAACATGGGCAGAAACCAGGGAGGGAGGGAGGGAGGGAGGGAGGGAGAGAGGGAGGGAGGGAGGGAGGGAGGGAGGGAGGGAGGGAGGGAGGGAGGCAGGCAGGCAGGCAGGCAGGCAGGCAGGCAGGCAGGCAGGGAGGGAGGGAGGGAGGGAGGGAGGAGCCGCCGAATTTCAGGTACTTGGGCGCCCTTTGAACATCATTGGAATGGGAACTTGCCTCAACCAACCATTTTGGGGAGAGGTCCGTTTGCCAATCAAATTCATAGCCACCTGCATAGTTGTGCCTCAAACGAGGATCCGCACATAATGCCCTTGCTGTTGATGCCCACTTAAACAAAGCTTAAGCAGAGTTTTTAAAGACACAACTGAACAAATGGGTTCCCTTTCCTTCGGATTGTACGCAAAAAGCAGGCACACGGTCGCCCCAGCAAAAAAGGAACGGCCCCATTCCATTTTCGGTTCAGCCAGCTTAGTGAGACGAACAAAACCAAAAGGTTGGAAAGACATGGGCTTCAAGCAAAAGGCAACCACGAAACACTTTCGAAACCCACGAAACAAACAGGACACCTTGAACCCATTGCGGCAAACCACCCAACACCTCGATTTTTCTATGGGGTTGCCAACCTTTGTAGAGGTCCACCCATGTTTGGTCGGAGAAACCGCCCCCCAGCGGTGCCATCCCGTCCCACCCGCCCATACGGCCTGCTCGAGCCGGCTCCTGGTGGCCTGAAGCTCGGCGTCGTGCGCCTCCCCGGCCTGCGGAGGTGAAAGTTGCGAACCTCCGACATGTTTTGAGGGGTCGGGCGGAGGCGGAGTCCTGTTCGGTTGCCAGTGCCCCCGCCTGCTGCAGGAGTTGCAGCACCGAGGCCTTCTCCATGAGCTCACGCTTAACCCCCGAAGGAGACCCGGGCGGCTAGGTCTGTTTTGGTGCCCTGGCCAGTCGGGAAGCCGCCCCGGCCAGGGCACCGGCCAGGGGATTCCGTTAGGGGTCCTCTAGCTTCTGGTGCGGCTCTGGCTCGAGTTGGGCAAAGGGCGCAAACCCCTCCATGCTTCTTCGATTTGAGTGGTTCAACGTCTGCGGGTAAAACGGCATCGGTAGGAAACAGTGTCAGGACCAGCAACAACGCAACGCTCCGCTGTCAGGACCAGCAACAATGCCACACACTGGGTGAGTATCAAAAAATATGGGCCCTTTCTGGACGCTGCTGCTGCCTTCAAAGTTCAACAGCTCTGGTGCTGGCGGAACAAAAAGCGCCCAGAGGCTTTTCAGCACGGAACTCCCTGCTTCAAAATTACGACGTAGCTTGAGTTGGGCAAACCCGGGCAAGACACGGGGACAAAAAACATGCCAACTTGGTCCCAAATGTGGCTGGTTTCCGTTTGGTGACCTCTAAACACCACCCAAAAGAGGGTTTAAATGCATGTGTGTGTGTGTGTGTGTTTTTTCTTTCGGGGTACCAAAAAGCAAATCCCTATCTATTTATTGATTTATTGTTTTTTGTTGGGCGGGTCATTGGGGGAAAACGTGTGCTCCAACTCGAAAACCCCCAACCAAGCCAGCTCGTGTTTGGCTGATGTTCTAACTGTCCCAAATGCAACCTGCAATGTTACCTCAAAAAAGTCCAGAGGGTCGAAATGGAATGGATTCAATGGATCATGGGATGCTGCAGGATGCGCTCTCAAACATATACTTCCACAATGGAAGCATCGGAAAATGTCATTCGTGTTCTGACCCAGTAGTTGCGATTGAAGTTTGGACCGCAGAACTGCGATGTTTGACAGCACCTCATGGTAGGAACTTTCATTGGGGACTGGTTGGTGACATTCCGAAAATAAGAGAGGAATTGTACTCATGAAACCCTTGTCAGAGTGTTCCCTATATATAAATTTCATTGCCAAATCTGTAGGCAACAAAGCAACCAAGGCACTCAGGCCAACCGACACACACTGAGCAACTGACCACCCCGGTGCGGGAGTGCCCAAACTCATGCGGCCCTGGTGGGGAAGCCAGCCACACTCCAAGCTCCACTACGCTCTGCTTTACCCAACAGGCAGCCGGGCTCTTCAGGGAATTCCGGCCTGAGCACAGCCGATTTGCGAATGTGGCAGATTCATTGGGTGCAACTCCCCCAAGAGTGATCCAGATTCCCTGTGCTGAGTTGATGACGAGTCGTTGGGCAAAAATCAAGTGGCAGTGTGTGGGCGCTGCCGGGAAAAGAAACCCAAACGCAGACTCAACCCAGAGACCAGAGAGGTCCTCTTTCCACCTTCCTTGGGACAAGAGAAGAGCATCCTAGAGGAATGAACGACCACGTTGAGAGGCGTTGAGTGAAAGAAGATAGCCCAAATCTCTCAATTTGATGCGCCACCTCTACTTACCGGCGTCTAGCCATAATTGCGCTGTCTACTTCACAAGATCATCAAAACATGGCCTCAAGGCGCGCTCGTAACGAGCCACCTGCCGATTCTTGAGCGCCCGCCTGGCCTCCGTTCCAAGTGTCACATTCCACATCTCCGGCTGCGAGTTTAGAGAAGGAGCCTTCAAAGGATTTCAGCGAAAGGAGACGTTTGCGATGATTGTGGAGCAGGGCTAAAAGGTCGGGATTCCACGTTCATCTGCACATGGCCAGGAGAAAACAAACAAAACTTCCCAAGGAAAACCCCCGCCGCGTGGGGATTCCCGTTGAGGGCGCCGCTGCGTGCAGCTTGCCCTCAATCTTCGCGCGGGCACCGACTGGCGGGGAGCTGGCCACCAACGCGAACTGGATGATGTCTAACCCGCGCGTGCGTCTTGTGTGTTTGTTGGTATTTTTGTTTCTGGAGAAGCATACATACTATCCCATAGAACGAATTAATCCACCTACAAGGCGAAACCACCCCCTGATTGGCATGGTGTTTTTTGGATTCACATTACAGTTCATACAACTAACACTGGTTTGGATGGTACCCATCATGGGCTCAAGGGTAACCAAAAGGAAACACCTCCTTTTCGGGTCTGGCAACCAAACCAAAACTTTGGCCAAAACCCATCTCAACGGCTCAATGGCATCCATCCCTCATCCCCTCCACACTTAGATGCTATGTTGCAGACTCAAGTCCCAAAAACGCCAACCCCCTAGACCAAGAGGGTTGCCAACTAGGGTCCACTTCCAAAAAAGCCGATGCATTGATCGCCTGCTGGGAGGCCGCGAAGTTGTCCACCCCGATGGTGTTGCTGCGGCTGACGTGCTTCTTCCTGGCCTCCGTGCCCTCAGATCTGTCGAGCGAGCCAAGGCAAGCGACAACGCGACAGCCGGCTTGCCATGCGGAGGCTTCACGCAAACAGGTCAACACCCGGGAAAAACCGGGTCAAACGCGATGCCACTTTGAGTTTTCTTCAAGGCAAGCTGGAGCATGTGACTTGAATGGATCCAGGATGGGCGAGCGTTGTTGCTTTGACCCGCGAAAACAGGCGGTCAAGGGGTCGGGTGGTCACCCGCGCCATGAGGTGTCAAAGATTGGACCTCTAGTCACCAGGGGCGCACGCTGGACCACCAGGTCTCTTTGTCATGTACAAAGCTCTGGAGGTCAGGCGCTGGAAGGGCGAGTTGGCATGTGGCAGGTGTTCAGGCGAGAGAGAGAGAGAGAGAGAGAGAGAGAGAGAGAGAGAGAGAGAGAGCAGACTTTTGGGCCGGAGGCGCAGGAAAAAGGTGCGCCTGTCGTTTGCTTACCCCAGCTAAGCCTCATTCATCGGATGCGCTGCGCAGGGTAGTTGTAAGGGCTGTCTCTGCCCCGATGCAAAGCATTGAAAGCGAGTGTGCTTGCCCGCCCCAAGAATCCTTTCAAATCCAACCTCTGTTCATCCATGTGATTTGCGCTGGCAGTAATGCAAGACCACAGCCAACTGCGCGGGGTGCAACGCAGGGTACAGCCCTTCCTGAAATACTGTATTGCAAATGATTCATCCCTTGCTCTGTGACTTTCTTTGCGTAGCAATCGGATCATACATGAGTCTGAAACCTTCCAACTAGTCTGCTCACAAGTGTGTCTTTGTCAGAGTACCGTTTTTGGGGCTATTCAAAATGGAAATCCAAATGGAGACAACCCTCATTTGGAGACACCCCCATTTCATGTATGCAAAACCTTTTGCGCTTGTGCCGACGCCTGAACCCCGAACTTGTCGTACAGGGCGGTCCTGGCTCCGGCTCGCTGGGTCGCTCAGAAAGCGACCCCAAGCTCCAAACGGTTGGTATCCTTTTGGCTTACTGCTTGCCCTTTTGATTCAATCGAGTGGAGTACCCCCCAAAAGAACAGCACCCTTTCAAATTCGAAAGAAGCCAGGCATGCGGACCGCTCGGCTAAGAACCAGAAGAGGGATTACTCATCTTGATTGGCAAATGGAGGCCTGACTCAAGAACCACGCAAAATGGTTCTTCTTGTTCCCGGCCAATCAACTGGGTGTGTCGTTCTTTGAGGGTGCCCCTCTTTTCGTAATTTTAAAGGGAACCAAGAGGAAAACCACCATTTTGGAGGGTCCCCTAAAAGGAGACACACCCAACTACACACACACACACAAAGTGCAAATCGCGCACAGCTCGTGGCCCCCCGCCCATTAACTCATGGCTCTTCGCACTGCAAGTCACTCAAGGTTTTGTTTCGTGAGTGCATCTTTAAGCAACGTGGACCCCTCCCCCCCCCCCCAACCACCACAAAAACAAGACACTGTCACCCAACTTTTGGTTCCCCCTGAAAGCTCCCCCCCCCTCCCCCCCTCCCCCCTTCCCCCGGAGGGCCCACGTTTTCTTGGACACCGGACATCCGCTTCTCTTCGTTCTTGGGCCCCGGGCTTCAGCTGCTCATCCATCATGATTCCCAGCTCGTTGGTCATCAGCTTCACCATCATGGAGGACTTGCCTTGGGCTCTGGGCATACGCACGCCAAGAAGCACACAGATATGGCTGTGGTTGTCAAAACCAATGCTACGATTTTGGGGTAGGTGCACCAACCATTTTAGTCTTAGTGAGGATTGGGATGTTCACTGGGGGTACGGGATTTTGACCCATGGCCATATGGGTGCGTCTCAGAGTGAGGGACCCTGGTCGTTTGTGGCGCTTCGCTTTTCCCATTTAGACCAGCCGACAAGGGGCCGGCTTTCATACCCATGTTGCCCTTGAGCTATGATTAGTGTTCATCTTCATCTGCCGTAATGAAGGATATGCATTGGACTCACCAAGTTGCCACTAGGAATCTTTGTGTTACTCAACGCATTTCAATGTCAGTTAGGGACAGCCACTTGTGTAAAAAGCTTCAAAAGGCATTCTTTGATGGACAGTGAATTTAGATTTATGCCCACCAACCATTTTGGAGGCTGTTGAAACCATTAAAATCACTAGCCATATCTGGGTTCATCTCCAAAAGACAGGACAAAGATGATGCTCCCTATTACAGTTCCTACAAACCTCAAGGAAAGGGCACCCTCAAACATCAAATACACCCAAATGAGACTCAAAACTCATGTGGGTCATGGCTTTAAGCCTTCTAGTCACCAAGGTCCAAGGCGTGGGATGTCCTGGGGCCGCCGCTGAAGGGCAGATTCTCCGCCAGGAAACGCCCTGTGTCCTCGTCCTCCGCCTGCGAGTGGAAAAAATCATAAGCTCGGTTCATCCCGTAAGCTCCTTCTGACTTGCCCAAAGTGATGTCGGAAATGCCCCTTGCCCCCCCCCCCCATGGCAGATCTCATTTGGGGTACATGTCCGTTTGGAGGCAGCCCGTGTACACTATTGATGGCTGCTAATCTGCTTCACTGGAGACAAAAAGTCTGCTGCTCCCCGTGCAAAGCAGCATGGAACCAACAAAAAACGAGTTGCCGACAACAGACATTCCTCGGAACATGATGGGTATTGAAGTGCCCTGTTGTCCTCTTTCCAACAATCATGGAAGTGGACAAGAAAATTAGAAAACTACCATACTCTTGGAAAGGCCCCTTTATCCACTTCGAGGGGTCCCCCCCCCAAAAAAAAAGAAGAAAGAAGTTCTTCGTTTTCGTTTCCAATTGAACCACCCTGAAAAAGGGCAGCCTCAAAATTGACACTGCGCCTCGCTGTCGGATTCCAGCTCCTTGCTGAGCATTGGCTCCACCTATCGGTGATGGATGTGTCTCAAAATCAGCCCAACCGCCCTTCCACCTCCCCCCACCCCTGCCAAAAAAACGTTTGAATCAAAATGAGGTTCCTTTTGGGTGCCTTCAAAACAAACCCAACAGCGGCGCCAACTCAAAACATGTCCTTCTTTGGAGCTGTCTTTTGCGAAGTTGATCGTTGTTTGGATTGAGGGGAAGAAGAACCTCTTTCCCACTGTCTCGTCTGAGGGGAAACAAGTCACAAAAGGCGGTTGCAAAAAAGTCCAGCCCCCGGGAAATCACAAGCTTCCTCTGGACGAATGTTTTGAGATGTTCTCACAGGTCAACGGGTCCTATGTGGTTGTTTATAGACTTTTGGTTGAAATTCAGAGCTCGTCCCCCAGCGTTCCTGCCAACCATCGAACATGGCGCGGCCAAACCTCAGGCGTCCAGCCCCGTCTTCGAAATTCAGATCTGTCCACACGTTTCTATGTGAGGCTGCCGGCTTGAAGCCAAACACAAGCCTTGGGAAGATGACCTGTGCCGCCAAAGCAGCCATGTCCGCAGATTGAGCAAGAGACCCCAAGACCCAAAAGACTAGAACATCGCTCCTGTCAGGGTCTAGGACATGGCACTTTTCAGGGTCAACTTCAGGAGGCTTTTGTAGGCATCCGGGTGCTTCACAAACTATGCATTGGATGACACATGAGACTGCCTGTTCAAGTAACCAGGTGGCCGCAGGACTGACCAGGCATCTTTGAGACGTCAGTGTTGACTATGATCTTGGCTGCACATCTCTCAGGATCTCTCGCAAGGAGTCTCTGAGCGGAGCGTTTTTCCCAAGTCGGCCGGCTCTCTCTTTCCCGCCTCCTCCTTGGAGACAGGCTTCTCCTCGCAGAACTTCAGACCCGATTTCGGCTCAGAATGACAAGAAGGACGGAAATCCACAGGAGTTCGCCCGAACCCAAAAAATCCAAAGACCCACCCAAGATCAGGGTTTGGACCAGTTTCCTGCACTTCCTACAGGTTTCTTAGAAAGAAGGACCCTCCTTTTCCAAGCTGCCCGCACGTGTTGCTAACCCTTGTGTCCAAAGCTCCTACCAACCTTCCCCCCGTTTTGTCCAGCCTGATAACCCTGACCATGCAAGTAACACAGCGGTTACCGCACTTGGGGAGTGTTTGTTTGGCCTCTGATGCAAAGCAATGTGGCAGGAATCTCGTGTGCGTCGACGGTCCCCTATAATGGTTGGGTTTCCCCTCAAAGACCTCTCCAAATGTCATGTCTGTGGCACAATGCCTACACCAAAACCAACGCCAATGGAATCCAAACGATGACTATCCTGGGCCCCATTAAAGTCAGCGCATATCCTGTAGCTTACCCTAATTTGTGGTCAGACTTGCTATCGGTTCAGGGAATGTACCGCACCTTGGTGTCCTGGAAAGATGACATGCTGGTGTCTTGGCTAGAACCCTAAAACCAGTGGAATCCCGTATAATTATTCTCGACCAAACTCAGCCAAAAGGACTACTCGTCGCAGATTGACATTGAACCCAAAAATGTTGAGAGGAATCCCTTTCGGGTTCCATTTGCAGGGGAGAAACCCCCCAAAAGAAGAACAAAAATAGGCTGCGTGCTTGGCAACCTCTACTTTGCTCATTTGCTCATCCGCCACTATGGGTTCCAAACAAGGATCAAGTCCAATAACTCGAGTGAGTAGATTGCCATCCCACAGCCCGGGCTGTTCGCCTCCCCGCCTCCCGCGAAGCGGCCCCTCGGCCCCTCGGCCCCTCGGCCCCACGGCCTGCAGGGGCGCGAAGCTCGCGAAGACGCCGGCGGTCACCGCGCACAGCCCGCAGCTGAGGCGACGAGCGGAAGTGGATAGGAATCAGCTGGGACACATGCTAGGTCCTCCAGTAGAGAGCTTAGAATAAGGGGACCAACTTTTTTCTGTAGTCTATTCTAGCAGGGGAACCCTCCCCCAAAAAGGGTAAAAGGGCACTACTGGGGGACCTGGCATGTCCTTTCTTCTGGCTTTCTTCTGGGGTGAGAGTAGATTTTATCATCCTGAACATCGATGTAGGATTCCTCATGACCTTTGCGGGAACCGTCGATTTTCCAGCGGTCTTAAACTGTCCAAATGCATCCTTGAAGGAACCCTGTGAAAGAAGATGGCACGACTTCCCCGCTTTGGCTTAATCACCACTACTGACAGAAAGGGAATTGTGCCATCATCTATCGGAATGTCCATTTGGGGAGAGATGCAGGACACGGACAGGGTGGCATAAGGGCAGAGTTTGGGCCCCTGGTGAAGGCGGCAAGGTTTGGGGGGTCATTGTTTTTTGTTGGGGTACCCTGAAAATTACCCATTTTGTGGGTCTGACCTCTTTTGGAGGCATGAGCAGCCAAACAGTGGCAACCTAAGTCCACAATGTCCTGTGGATGGCCATGCTTCACTGCAACAGCGTCCCATAAATTTCCAGACGAGGCCAGGTGGAAATTGGGAACCGCTAATATTGGTGGGAAAAAGAAACCCAACAAGACACCAAAACAAGCAGCTGGACACGGACACCAAAACTGGAAACCAAAAGAGGAAACCAACCATTTCAAGTCTCCAACCAATTTGTTCACACCAGGTGCTTTCACCATGCCTTCCTTCGCCGCTACACAAGCGCCTGCCCCCGTGCAATCTCCTTCAAGCATAGCCCTGCCAACAAACATGGTTTCGTGCGCAACTCGTCTCTCTTGTTCGGAAGGGGTCGCACGCACTTCGATGTTGTTTACCTCTTGGCGTTTGCAAAATAGCCTTGGAGAAAAGCCCAAGCCGCTTCCACTTCCAGGGTTGGGCAAAGTCTGTTTCAAGAAAAAATCCCTAGTTTCAGAACCAAGGGAATCTAAAACGAGTCAGTTTCAACTAAAATGAAGCTTACACATGCTGAAGCAAGGGGATGGCCCCACCCCCACAGCCACACCTGAGGCCGTACGGCAAGAAGTGGTCGCGAGTGTAGAGAAACCCGCCCACGGCCGGCCTGCGGTTCAGAGATCGGGCCACACTGGCGGAGGGGTCTCTGCAACTGGAGACCTAAAGGGTTGAAAAGACGAAACCATTTCTTCCAGGCTTGACCAAGGTTTTGTGGTTCGAAACCCAAATCCACTGAATAACTCGGTTGTGGTTGAAATGGAAGAGAACTTTCCAAAAGGGTGGGGTTCCTGTGGAAACCATTGTCCCACGCCCCTACAAAGGGCACCAACTCCCAAACAAATGAACACCCACACGTACAGTCGATTGAGAGGCCCAGAACGGGCCTCACTTCCTGGCTTTTGGGCATACTGCCCTACAAGCTATATAGCAGAAGAAGCCGAAACTGAGGGTTCTTGGCTGAGACTGTCATGCATCCCGGCCCCAAATCGTCTTCCGAGCTACTCCGTGACTTAGGACTCAAGGCCTGTCCAAGAAACCACCGGAAACACACCAATTGGACCTCGGACCCCGCGTCACTTGCTGGGGCTCGGGGCGACAAAGTGCCGGCCAAGCCGTCGAAGAAGCTCTTGATACCCAGGAAGGTGCCCAAGCGGTCCTGGCCAGGGAAGTCGGTTGGTTCCCACTCCTCAGTGTCTACCTTGGGGTAATCACCAAGAAGAAATCCTGAACTTGGTCGTGGTCAAGCGCATGAAGCGGCTTGGAAAAAGATGGGGGGTACTGCAAAAGGAGGGCCTATGAGGCTCCGACATTGGAAAAAAAGTCCAGGTTGGAAAAGACTGGGACCTTGGTTGGAAAGGAATGGGCCTCTTCCAAAAAGGCATGATTGCAGGTTAGAAAAGAACAGAGTTCCTTCAAAAGGATTGCAATTTTGGGCAGAAAGGAGTGGGGATCTTTCAACTTTTAGGAGGGTCATGTATTTTCCCAAGAAATTGGTTGAACGGCGGCACTGGGAACGAGGAGGAGTAGGAGGAGGCGTAGGTTTCAAGAGAAATCCATTAAGATGAAGAGCTCTGAGAGGTGTTGTTCACAACAAGCATTGTCTAGGAACTTGAAGGGGATGTGCCATCTTCCCTTGCATATTGCCATTGGATACACAACAAGGCCGGGCACCGCTTTGGAAGCCAAACAAAATTGCGAAATTTACAGACTGGATGGTTGCTTGTCTTGCTTTGTGTGTTGCTCTCTCTTGATGCGAGTTTATATTGTTTTTGTTGGTCTCTCTCTCTCTTTCTTTTTCTTGTTGTTCTTTCTTTCTTTCTTTCTTTCTTTTTTTTGGGGGGGTCAACATACGTACCCAACTGGAGTCTCCTTTGGACCCGTAACCTTCCCATATAATAACACCAGCATAGACCCCAGATAGCACACCACGGATACGAACCATGACGCAGCATTATCATGATGATGTAGACCATGATGACACCACAGCCACGAAACAAACGCGCAGACAACGTCCTAATGAGATCAGCAGCATAATGATGATTTTGAGAGCAATCCGGCAGGAAAAAGCAAAAACAACGTCCTGATGAGTTCGACAGCATCATGATGATGCGGACAGCATCATGGTGATGCGGACAGCATCATGGTGATGCGAACAGCATCATGCTGATGGTAAAGGCAGCATCATGATGATACCACAGCCACGAAACATCTTGCGACAGCTTGATGAAATTCTGCATCATCCTGATGTTGACAGCATCACGGCGCCACTACACCCACACACCATAACGTGGGAACATCATGACGATACACCAGCCACGAACCGTTACACGCGAACAGCATCCACCAGCACCCCAAACATGCCCCCTAGCACCCGGCATCCACCCGCGCCTCAAACTGCATGCCCCAGCCCGGCCGTCAAGCTCGCAAAGCAGCATCCACCAGCACCCCAAACTGCATGCCCCCTAGAACCGGCCGTCAAGCTCGCAAAACAGCATCCACCAGCACCCCAAACTGCATGCCCCCTAGCACCCGGCCAGCTCGCAAAACAGCATCCACCAGCAGCCCAAACTGCATGCCCCCAGCACCCAGCCGTCAAGCTCGCAAAACAGCATCCACCAGCACCCGAAGCTGCATGCCCCCCACCCGGCCGTCAAGCTCGCAAAGCAGCATCTACCAGCACCCCAAACTGCATGCCCCGTAGCACCCGCAAAGCAGCACCCACCAGCACCCCCAACTGCATAGCACCCCGCCCTCAATCTCGCAAAGAAGCATCCACCAGCACCTCAAACTGCATGCCCCCTAGCACCCGGCCGTCAAGCTCGCAAAGCAGCACCTACCAGCACCCCAAACTGCATGCCCCCTAGCACCCGGCCGTCAAGCTCGCAAAGCAGCATCCAGCACCCCAAACTGCATGCCCCCTAGCACCCGGCCGTCAAGCTCGCAAAGCAGCATCACCAGCACCCCAAACTGCATGCCCCCCATGCCCCCTAGCACCCGGCCGTCAAGCTCGCAAAGCAGCACCCACCAGCACCCCAAACTGCATGCCCCCTAGCACCCGGCCGTCAAGCTCGCAAAGCAGCATCCACCAGCACCTCAAACTGCATGCCCCCGAGCACCCGGCCGTCAAGCTCGCAAAGCAGCATCCACCAGCACCTCAAACTGCATGCCCCCCAGCACCCGGCCGTCAAGCTCGCAAAGCAGCATCCACCAGCACCTCAAACTGCATGCCCCCTAGCACCCGGCCGTCAAGCTCGCAAAGCAGCATCCACCAGCACCTCAAACTGCATGCCCCCTAGCACCCGGGCAAAGCAGCATCCACCAGCTCAAAAGCAGCACCCACCAGCACCCAAACTGCATGCCCCCTAGCACCCGGCCGTCAAGCTCGCAAAGCAGCACCCACCAGCACCTCAAACTGCATGCCCCCTAGCACCCGGCCCTCAATCTCGCAAAGCAGCATCCACCAGCACCTCAAACTGCATGCCCCCTAGCACCCGGCCGTCAAGCTCGCAAAGCAGCATCCACCAGCACCTCAAACTGCATGCCCCCTAGCACCCGGCCCTCAATCTCGCAAATCACTTTCCCCTCTTTATTAGAAGTTAGAACCCCTATAGCTTTCAGCTATCTGGGGAACTATGGACTACCAATGAGAAACAGATAGACACCACGGATACGAACCATGACGCAGCATTATCATGATGATGTAGACCATGATGACACCACAGCCACGAAACAAACGCGCAGACAACGTCCTAAGGAGATCAGCAAGCAGCATAATGATGATTTTGAGAGCAATCCGGCAGGAAAAAGCAAACCGGCCTGGAGTTCGACAGCATCATGATGATGCGGACAGCATCATGGTGATGCGGACAGCATCATGGTGATGCGAACAGCATCATGCTGATGGTAAAGGCAGCATCATGATGATACCACAGCCACGAACCATCTTGCGACAGCTTCATGAAATTCTGCATCATCCTGATGTTGACAGCATCACGGCGCCACTACACCCACACACCATAACGTGGGAACATCATGACGATACACCAGCCACGAACCGTTACACGCGAACAGCATCCACCAGCACCCCAAACATGCCCCCTAGCACCCGGCATCCACCCGCGCCTCAAGCGAGGCCGCTCCGCCTATGACGGTCTCCTCATACGGAGTCGGCGACCGGGCCACCAGCAGTGCGGGCCCAGGCAGCGCCGCTGGCGCCGCCACTCGCCTCTGCCTCTTGAGGCCTCTGACGGCAGGTGTCGCGCGTCCATCGCCGGCCGAACGTGAAGCTCGCCCCGTACGGGGCCTCATACGCTCCCGGGCCAGGGCTGCTGGGCTGCGGCGCCGCTTCCGCCACCGCCGCGGCCGCGGCAAACATGGTATGGCGGCAGGCGCGGTGCACTTCCTCAACCAATCTGGTAGAAGCGGTTCTTGAAATGCCATGAACTGCTGCTGCTGCGTGGTGTAGAGATGGCCGGGGTGGTGGTCAAATGTCCGAACGGTGAACACTGGCATCTGGTCTGGCGCTCATCCCATTCGCCTGCAAGCTCGACGCACACGAACATGTTCTTTTCCCGGCCATGCTAGCATCATACCTTGGCACTCAACACCATGGACGCATGCACACGTCCGTTTTTGCCCTAAAGGTGTGGGCGCTTCAATCTCTTCAACATAGGCCCACAGAGTCAATGTTCCACTTGAGCAGCTATGAAAGTAAACAACATGAATGTCTACGTAGCTTGCGCAACGACACTCAGGACCGTCATGGCGAACGGGCGAGCGACCAAACGCATGGATTCTTTACATGCTCCTCGTTCACAGCTGCGCGCCCCTGACAGGCACTAACTGATGTCGCGCCATGGGCTGTGCCCTGCCAGCGTTGGAGGGGAGTGCCGTTCATCAACAGATTCGTGATCATGCCACACATCCCCACACAGCCATGGCAAGATGTTTTGAGCCAGGCAGTACCTCCAAAGGCAAAGTCTGGGCCCGTAGCCACTACACTGAGAAACCAACATCGCCGCGGGTTATTTGCTGGTTTGCGCCTGCGCGCCCACGGCAATAGTCACTGGCTGGCCTGCGGAGGGCAAAGCCGAGCGGCTGCTCCAGGCAGTCATTACGAGAAATCGTTGCAAATGCCTTGGGTGTCTAGAAATTGTGGGACGGCGATTATAAAGAGAAACCAAAGGGAAACCCCACCAGTTAAATTCCATAAGTGGAAAATGGCAGACTTTGGTGGTCTATTCATGCGTCCTTAAGGGACTGGAGGTTGAGACGACATCGGAGCCAAGTTGTCACATCTGTTTGCAACAAAACAGTTGCTCATCCTATCCCACCCTTTTGACAAATAAAGACTATGGAACTACGAATGACCAAACACAATTGACTTGTGGGCAGCTCAGCAAACAGCAGCTCTTCAGGATGCGCAGGCCTTGCGCAACGCGTGGCCAAACGGGCCGCCCCATCTGCAAGCCCCTTAAATTGTGAGGCCCCTACCACTTCCCTGCCTCCTTCTCCCCATTCCTCCAGACCTGTGCTTAGAACCACTGCCAAACCATCCGACAAAATCAAGCTGGTCAAGTCGAATTCATAGTGGAACCGCCTGGAGCCGAGTATGGAAGGTAACACATACATTGATTTTTTCGAAGGCCCAGGCATGCTGACAGCTGAAGCAAATCACGCCTGCCTGGGTTGCGCCAACGCCCATAAAAAATGTTGGCCTACTTTGTTCAAACAGCCTGTTGGTTCCCTCGAAAGGCCACCAGGGCCTGGTTGTTCAACAACTTTTGCAACAACTTGTTTCGCTACAAAGGCCTGCCATCTTTGCCTGCGGCCAATGTGTCCGCAGCTTGCTTGCAGGCTGGCGCCCGCGCCCTGGCGCCGCGGAAACCAGGGCTCGGCCTGCGCAGGCAGGCGGGGCGCCAGGGAAACTGCACGGTAACCCTGGCGTTCGCCAAAGCAACCCGGCCTTGGCGCTCGTCAGAGCACCTGCCCGGCGGCCAGAATCCCCTGGAGCTCTTCGGCCGCCCTGGCAGCGTGGGGTCGGATGGCTTGCTGTGGTTCCTGCGCTTTGTCAGCCAGTCGCTGATCGCTGCGTTCCGCCCTCCACCTTGACGAGGTCCTCCACCGCTTTGACCACGCAGGACGCCGCGAAGACGCCCTACCGCGATAGAATACACTTCTTGCAAACCCGCAAAGCTGACCCAATCGTGCTAATTAGGCGAGCCCTGCCGTCCCCTTGAAGTGGTTGATCCGCGAAATAACCCGCCACACAGCACCCACAAATTGTCCACAAAGCCTTCCCTGGCATGCATACATGCTTACGATGATGAGAGGTCCCGGCACGAAAGTGTTCCCCCTAGCAATTCCTCCGCTTTGGTGGATCGTTGTCGAAGTCGATCAAGCACCATCTGCCACCCCAGCCCCAGCCGGCTGCAAACGCTGCGCGCGGAGATGTCGCAGCAGTGACGAAGCCATGTATGTGCTTCAGGGCGTTCAGCAGGGTCACAGCCACATCCTGCACCGCAAACGGCCACTGAGCCCGGGCAGTTGATCAGCGTGGAGCAGTGATGGTCCCAGCATTTACGATTATTGGCTTCTTGCGCTCGTTTCATCAAAATCAATCACCTGCACCACATGCGGTGCCCGGCCACATTTCAAGCAGGTTCTCGTTCTTCTTCTCTCATCGCTCACCTTCACGGCAACTCGCGGTTGCCGAATTGCTCAGGCTCGGTCAGCTGTATGTGGAGACCGCATTTTAGGCAATGCCTATTACGGGTCTCCGGTCATCAATGGGAGTCGCTGACCGGGCCGTGGGCCCAGGCAGCGCTGCTGGCGCCGCCACTCGCCCTGCCTCTGAGGCTCCTGATGCCTCTGACGGCATCGGCAGGTGTCGCGCCATTCATCGCCGGCCGAACGTGAAGCCCGCCCCGCGCGGGCGGGGCGCCAGGGCCGCTGGGCCGGCTTCCGCCACCTTTCTGCCTTCAGGCGCGGGTGCAATTACCTCAATCCAATCTGGTAGAAGGGTTCTTGAAATTGCTGAACTGCTGCTGCGTGGTGTAGAGATGGCCAGTGAAGGGTCAAATGTCCGAACGCAGAACACTGGCATCTGGTCTGGCGCTTCATCCCATATCTCGCCTGCAAGCCTAGATGCACACGAACATGTTCTTTCCCGCCATGCTAGCATCATACCTGGGCACCTCAACACCATGCGCATGCACACACGTCCGTTTCTGTCTTAAAGGTGTGGGCGCTTCAATCTCTTCAACATAGGCCCACAGAGTCAAATGTTCCACTTGAGCAGCTATGAAAGTAAACAGTCATTCATGTCTACGTAGCTTGCGCAAACGACACTAGGACCGTCATGGCGAACGGACGAGCGACCAAACGGCGGATTCTTTTCATGTTCCTCGTTCACAGCTGCGCCCCAGACAGGCGCTAACCGATGTCTCGCCATGGGCTGAGCCCTGCCAGCGTTGGAGGGGGAGTGCTGTTCATCAAACAGATTCGTGATCATGCCACACATTTCCACAGCCATTCCCATGTTTTGAGCCAGGCAGTACCTCCAAAGGCAAAGTCTTTGGGCCTGTAGCCTACACTGCAAATGAACATCGCCGGCTATCGGTTGGCTTATTGCGCCTTCGCGCCCACGGCAATAGTCACTGGCTGGCCTGCGGAGGGCAAAGCCGAGCGGTTGCTCCAGGCAGTCATTACGAGAAATCGTTTTGCAAATGGCTCGGGGTGTTCAGAAACTGTGGGACGGCGATTAGTAAAGAGAAACCAAAGGGAAACCCCACCAGTTAAATTCATAAGTGCAGGGATGTCTATTGAGGCGGTCCTTGTACGGACTGGAGGCGACGACATCGGAGCCGGGGCGCAGGACATCTGGGTACCCATCTCCACGCGTCTGCAACACGAAGTCCGGCAGAGGCTTGTGCCATCGCTTTGCCAGCTTGCCCGGTGTCCAATAGGTTTGCAACAAAAAACAGTTGCGCATCCCATCCCACCCTTTTGACAAATGAAGACTATGGACTACGAATGACCAAACATAATTGACTTGTGGGCAAACAGCAACCAGCAGCTCTTCAGGATGCGCAGGCCTGCGCAATGTGGTGGCCAAACGGCCGCCCTGGGTCCACGTAGATGGAGTCCGGCTTGCCCCCGACCGCTTCGCCCACCCCATTCCTCCAGACCTGGGCTTAGAACCACTGCCAAACCATCCGACAAAAATCAAGCTGGTCAAGTCGAATTCATAGTGGAACCGCTCCGAGCCGAGTATGGAAGGTAACACATACATTCATTTTCGAAGGCCCAGGCATGCTGACAGCTGAAGCAAATCACGCCTGCCTGGGTTGGGCCAACGCCTATAAAAATGTTGAACTCACTTTTGTTCAAACAGCCTGTTGGTTCCCTCGAAAGGCCACCAGGGCCTGGTTGTTCAACAACTTTTGCAACAACTTGCCTGCCACAAAGGCCTGCCATCTTTGCCTGTGGCCAACGTGTCCGCAGCTTGCAGATGGCTCGCGCCCTGGCGCTGCGGAAACCAGGGCTCGGCCTGCGCGGGCGGGGCGCCAGGGTAAACTGCACGGTAACCCTGGCGTTCGGCCAAAACGCAACCCGGCCTTGGCGCTCGTCACAGCACCTGCCCGGCGGCCAGAACTTCTTGGAGCTCTTCGGCCGCCCTGGCAGCGTGGGGTCGGATGTCTTGCTGCGGTTCCTGCAGCTTTGTCAGCCAGTCGCTGATCGCTGCGTTCCGCTTCTCCACCTCGACGAGGTCCTCCACCGCTTTGACCACGCAGGACGCCGCGAAGACGTCCTACCGCGATAGAATACACTTATTGCAAACCCGCAAAGCTGACCCAATCGTGCTAATTAGCCGCGGCGAGCCCTGCCGTCCTCTTTGAAGTGGTTGATCCGTGAAATGTCCTGCCACACACAACCCACAAATTGTCCACAAAGCCTTCCCTGGCATGAGTTTTCATGCTTACGATGATGAGAGGTCCTGGGCACGAAAGTGTTCAAGATTGATCCGGCCCTCGGACAATTCCTCCAAGCTTTGGTGGATCTGGGCGCTGTCGAAGTCGATCAGCACCATCTGCCACCCCAGCCCCAGCCGGCTGCAAACGTTGCGCGCGGAGATGTCGCAGGTGCGACGCAGAAGCTATGTATGTGCTTCAGGGCGTTCAGCAGGGTCACAGCCACATCCTGCACCGCAAACGAAGCCACTGGAGCCTGGGAAGCTGATCATGCGGAGCAGTGATGGTCCCAGCATTTCCATGATTATTGCGCTTCTTGCGCTCGTTTCGTCAAAATCAATCACCTGCACCACATGCGGGTGCCCGGCCACGATTTGGAGAATTTCAACTCTGCAGCTCTTCGTTCTTCTTCCTCATCGCTCACCACCTTCACGGCAACCTTGCGGTCGCTGGGGCCCAGGCCCGGTCACTCCGGCCGTGGAGACCGTACTCAGGCAAAGGCCTATTACGGTCTCCACGCAGTGAGTCGCTGACCGGGCCGTGGGCCCAGGCAGCTGCTGGCGCCGCCACTCGCTCCCTGCCTCTGAGGCCTCTGACATTCTGACGGCAGGTGTCGCGCGCTCCATCGCCGGCCGAACGTAGCCCGCCCCGTACGGGCCTTCGGCAGCACCCGCCAGGGCCGCTGGGCTGCGGCTTCGCCACCTTCGCCTTCGCAGACATGGCGCCAGGCGCGGTGCACTACCTGTCCAATCTGGTAGAAGCGGTTCTTGAAATTGCTGAACTGCTGCTGCGGTGTAGAGATGGGTTGGGGTGAAGGGTCAAAATGTCCGAACGCAGAACACCGGCATCTGGGTCTGGCGCTCATCCCATTCGCCTGCAAGCCTAAGCGCTTACGAACATGTTCTTTTCCTGGCCATGCTAGCATCATACCTTGGCACCTCAACACCATGGACGCATCACACACGTCCGTTTCTGCCTTAAAGGTGTGGGCGCTTCAATCTCTTCAACATAGGCCCACAGAGTCAAATGTTCCACTTGAGCAGCTATGAAAGTAAACAACAACATTCATGTCTGATGTAGTTTGCGCAACGACACTAGGAATCGTCATGGCGAACGGGCGAGCGGACCAATCGTACGGATTCTTTCATGTTCCTCGTTCAATAGCTGCGCCCCAGACAGGCGCCAACCGATGTCGCGCCTGCCGATCATCGGTTGGCGCTGCCAGCGTTGGAGGGGAGTGCCGTTCATCAAACAGACTCGTGATCATGCCACACATTTCCACACAGCCATGGCAAGATGTTTTGAGCCAGGCAGTACCTCCAAAGGCAAAGTCTTTGGGCCTGTAGCCACTACACTGCAAATGAACATCGCCGGCTATCGGTTGGCTTGCGCCTTCGCGCCCACGGCAATAGTCACTGGCTGGCCTGCGGAGGGCAAAGCCGAGCGGCTGCTCCAGGCAGTCATTACGAGAAATCGTTTCGCAAATGGCTCGGGGTGTTCAGAATTTGTGGGACGGCGATTAGTAAAGAGAAACCAAAGGGAAACCCCACCAGTTAAATTCATAAGTGGAAAATGGCAGACTTCAGGGATGTCTATTGAGGCGGTCCTTAAGGGACTGGAGGTTGTAGACGACATCGGAGCCGTTGTCACATCTGGGTACCCATCTCCACGCGTCTGCAACACTGAAGTCCGCAAAGGCTTGTGCCATCGCTTTGCCAGCTTGCCTCGGTGTCCAATAGGTTTGCAACAAAACAGTTGCTCATCCCATCCCACCCTTTTGACAAATGAAGACTATGGACTACGAATGACCAAACATAATTGACTTGTGGGCAGCCTAGCAACCAGCAGCTCTTCAGGATGCGCAGGCCTTGTGCAATGTGTGGCCAAACGGGCCGCCCCGGTCCACGTAGATGGAGTCCGGCTTGCCCCCGACCGCTTCGCCCACCCCATTCCTCCAGACCTGGGCTTAGAACCACTGCCAAACCATCCGACAAAAATCAAGCTGCTCAAGTCGAATTCATAGTGGAACCGCTCCGAGCCGAGTATGGAAGGTAACACATACATTGATTTTCGAAGGCCCAGGCATGCTGACAGCTGAAGCAAATCACGCCTGCCTGGGTTGCGCCAACGCCTATACAAATGTTGAACTCACTTTTGTTCAAACAGCCTGTTGGTTCCCTCGAAAGGCCACCAGGGCCTGGTTGTTCAACCACTTTTGCAACAACTTGCCTGCCACAAAGGCCTGCCATCTTTGCCTTGTGGCCCAATGTATCGCAGCTTGCAGATGGCGCTCCGCCCTGGCTGGCTGCGGGGCTCCAGAGGGCTGACTAACGCGGGCGGGGCGCCAGGGTAAACTGCACGGTAACCCTGGCGTTCGGCCAAAACGCAACCCGGCCTTGGCGCTCGTCACAGCACCTGCCCGGCGGCCAGAACTTCTTGGAGCTCTTCGGCAGCCCTGGCAGCGTGGGGTCGGATGTCTTGCTGCGGTTCCTGCAGCTTTGTCAGCCAGTCGCTGATCGCTGCATTTCGCGTCTCCACCTTGACGAGGTCCTCCACCGCTTTGACCACGCAGGACGCCGCGAAGACGTCCTACCGCGATAGAATACACTTCTTGCAAACCCGCAAAGCTGACCCAATCGTGCTAATTAGCCGCGGCGAGCCCTGCCGTCCTCTTTGAAGTGGTTGATCCGTGAAATGTCCTGCCACACACAACCCACAAATCGTCCACAAAGCCTTCCCTGGCATGCGTGTTCATGCTTACGATGATGAGAGGTCCTGGGCACGAAAGTGTTCAAGATTGATCCGGCCCTCGGACAATTCCTCCAAGCTTTGGTGGATCTGGGCGCTGTCGAAGTCGATCAGCACCATCTGCCACCCCAGCCCCAGCCGGCTGCAAACGTTGCGCGCGGAGATGTCGCAATGTGCGACGCAGAAGCTATGTATGTGCTTCAGGGCGTTCAGCAGGGTCACAGCCACATCCTGCACCGCAAACGGGGCCACTGAGCCCGGGAAGCTGATCATGCGGAGCAGTGATGGTCCCAGCATTTCCATGATTATTGCGCTTCTTGCGCTCGTTTCGTCAAATCAATCACCTGCACCCATGCGGGTGCCCGGCCACGATTTGGAGAATTTCAAACTCTTCCGCAGCTCTTCGTTCTTCTTCTCTTCACCACCTTCACGGCAACCTTGCGGCCGCGAATCGGCCAAGATCACCTGGGCGAGGCCGCCCTTGCCTAGCGGTCTCCTATACGGAGTCGGCGACCGGGCCACCAGCAGTGTGGGCCAGGCAGCGCCGCTGGCGCCGCCACTCGCCTCTGCCTCTGATGCCTCTGACGGCAGGTGTCCGCGCGTCCATCGCCGGCCGAACGTGAAGCCCGCCCCGTACGGGGCCTCATAGGCACCCGGGCCAGGGCCGCTGGGCTGCGGCTTCCGCCACCTTTCTGCCTTCGCAAACATGGCGGCAGGCGCGGGTGCAATTCCCTCAACCAATCTGGTAGAAGCGGTTCTTGAAATTGCTGAACTGCTGCTGCGTGGTGTAGAGATGGGTTGGGGTGAAGGGTCAAATGTCCGAACGCAGAACACTGGCATCTGGGTCTGGCGCTCATCCCATTCGCCTGCAAGCCTAGATGCACACGAACATGTTCTTTTCCTGGCCATGCTAGCATCATACCTTGGCACCTCAACACCATGGACGCATGCACACACGTCCGTTTCTGTCTTAAAGGTGTGGGCGCTTCAATCTCTTCAACATAGGCCCACAGAGTCAAATGTTCCACTTGAGCAGCTATGAAAGTAAACAACATGAATGTCTACGTAGCTTGCGCAACGACACTAGGACCGTCATGGCGAACGGGCGAGCGACCAAACGCATGGATTCTTTTCATGTTCCTCGTTCACAGCTGCGCCCCAGACAGGCGCCAACCGATGTCGCGCCATGGGCTGTGCCCTGCCAGCGTTGGAGGGGAGTGCCGTTCATCAAACAGACTCGTGATCATTCCACACATTTCCACACAGCCATGGCAAGATGCTTTGAGCCAGGCAGTACCTCCAAAGGCAAAGTCTTTGGGCCTGTGCCCTACTGCAAACCGAACATCGCCGGCTATCGGTGGCTTGCGCCTGCGCGCCCACGGCAATAGTCACTGGCTGGCCTGCGGAGGGCAAAGCCGAGCGGCTGCTCCAGGCAGTCATTACGAGAAATCGTTTTGCAAATGGCTCGGGGTGTTCAGAAATTGTGGGACGGCGATTAGTAAAGAGAAACCAAAGGGAAACCCCACCAGTTAAATTCCATAAGTGGAAAATGGCAGACTTCAGGGATGTCTATTCAGGCGGTCCTTAAGGGACTGGAGGTTGTAGACGACATCGGAGCCGTTGTCACATCTGTTTGCAACAAAACAGTTGCTCATCCTATCCCACCCTTTTGACAAATAAAGACTATGGACTACGAATGACCAAACACAATTGACTTGTGGGCAGCCTAGCAAACAGCAGCTCTTCAGGATGCGCAGGCCTTGCGCAACGCGTGGCCAAACGGGCCGCCCCGGTCCACGTAGATGGAGTCCGGCTTGCCCCCGACCACTTCGCCCACCCCATTCCTCCAGACCTGTGCTTAGAACCACTGCCAAACCATCCGACAAAAATCAAGCTGGTCAAGTCGAATTCATAGTGGAACCGCTCCGAGCCGAGTATGGAAGGTAACACATACATTGATTTTCGAAGGCCCAGGCATGCTGACAGCTGAAGCAAATCACGCCTGCCTGGGTTGCGCCAACGCCTATAAAAATGTTGAACTCACTTTTGTTCAAACAGCCTGTTGGTTCCCTCGAAAGGCCACCAGGGCCTGGTTGTTCAACAACTTTTGCAACAACTTGCCTGCCACAAAGGCCTGCCATCTTTGCCTGTGGCCCAATGTGTCGCAGCTTGCCCGCAGCTGGCGCGCGCTTGGCGCGCGCCAGGGCTCGGCCTGCGCGGGCGGGGAGCCAGGAGTAAACTGCGGTAACCTGGCGTTCGGCCAAAAGCAACCCGGCCTTGGCGCTCGTCAGAGCACCTGCCCGGCGGCCAGAACTTCTTGGAGCTCTTCGGCCGCCCTGGCAGCGTGGGGTCGGATGGCTTGCTGTGGTTCCTGCAGCTTTGTCAGCCAGTCGCTGATCGCTGCGTTCCGCGTCTCCACCTTGACGAGGTCCTCCACCGCTTTGACCACGCAGGACGCCGCGAAGACGTCCTACCGCGATAGAATACACTTCTTGCAAAACCCGCAAAGCTGACCCAATCGTGCTAATTAGGCGAGCCCTGCCGTCCTCTTTGAAGTGGTTGATCCGCGAAATGTCCTGCCACACAGCACCCACAAATTGTCCACAAAGCCTTCCCTGGCATGCATGTTCATGCTTACGATGATGAGAGGTCCTGGGCACGAAAGTGTTCGAAATTGATCTGGCCCTCGGACAATTCCTCCAAGCTTTGGTGGATCTGGGCGCTGTAAGTGATCAGCACCATCTGCCACCCCAGCCCCAGCCTGCAAACGTTGCGCGCGGAGATGTCGCAGTGTGCGACGCAGAAGCTATGTATGTGCTTCAGGGCGTTCAGCAGGGTCACAGCCACATCCTGCACCGCAAACGGGGCCACTGAGCCCGGGAAGCTGATCATGCGGAGCAGTGATGGTCCCAGCATTTCCATGATTATTGCGCTTCTTGCGCTCGTTTCGTCAAAATCAATCACCTGCACCACATGCGGGTGCCCGGCCACGATTTGGAGAATTTCAAACTCCTTCCGCAGCTCTTCGTTCTTCCTCTCATCGCTCACCACCTTCACGGCAACCTTGCGGCCGCCAAATCGGCCCAGGCCCAGTCAGCGACTCCGTATGTGGAGACCGTACTAGGCAATGCCTATTACGGTCTCCACATACGGAGTCGCTGACCGGGCCGTGGGCCCAGGCAGCGCTGCTGGCGCCGCCACTCGCCTCTGCCTCTGAGGCCTCTGATGCCTCTGACGGCAGGTGTCGCGCCTCCATCGGCGGCCGAACGTGAAGCCCGCCCCGTACAGGGCCTCATAGGCACCCGGGCCAGGGCCGCTGGGCTGCGGCTTCCGCCACCTTTCTGCCTTCGCAAACATGGCGGCAGGCGCGGGTGAATCTGGTAGAAGCGGTTCTTGAAATTGCTGAACTGCCTGCGTGGTGTAGAGATGGGTTTGAAGGGTCAAATGTCCCCAGAACACTGGCATCTGGGTCTGGCACTCATCCCATTCGCCTGCAAGCCTAGATGCGCACGAACATGTTCTTTTCCTGGCCATGCTAGCATCATACCTTGGCACCTCAACACCATGGACGCATGCACACACGTCCGTTTCTGTCTTAAAGGTGTAGGCGCTTCAATCTCTTCAACATAGGCCCACAGAGTCAAATGTTCCACTTGAGCAGCTATGAAAGTAAACAACATGAATGTCTACGTAGCTTGCGCAACGACACTAGGACCGTCATGGCGAACGGGCGAGCGACCAAACGCATGGATTCTTTTCATGTTCCTCGTTCACAGCTGCGCCCCAGACAGGCGCCAACCGATGTCTCGCCATGGGCTGAGCCCTGCCAGCGTTGGAGGGGAGTGCCGTTCATCAAACAGATTCGTGATCATGCCACACATTTCCACACAGCCATGGCAAGATGTTTTGAGCCAGGCAGTACCTCCAAAGGCAAAGTCTTTGGGCCTGTAGCCACTACACTGCAAATGAACATCGCCGGCTATCGGTTGGCTTGCGCCTTCGCGCCCACGGCAATAGTCACTGGCTGGCCTGCGGAGGGCAAAGCCGAGCGGCTGCTCCAGGCAGTCATTACGAGAAATCGTTTTGCAAATGGCTCGGGGTGTTCAGAAATTGTGGGACGGCGATTAGTAAAGAGAAACCAAAGGGAAACCCCACCAGTTAAATTCATAAGTGCAGGGATGTCTATTGAGGCGGTCCTTAAGGGACTGGAGGTTGTAGACGACATCGGAGCCGTTGTGACATCTGGGTACCCATCTCCACGCGTCTGCAACACTGAAGTCCGGCAGAGGCTTGTGCCATCGCTTTGCCAGCTTGCCTCGGTGTCCAATAGGTTTGCAACAAAACAGTTGCTCATCCCATCCCACCCTTTTGACAAATGAAGACTATGGACTACGAATGACCAAACATAATTGACTTGTGGGCAGCCTAGCAACCAGCAGCTCTTCAGGATGCGCAGGCCTTGCGCAATGCGTGGCCAAACGGGCCGCCCCGGTCCACGTAGATGGAGTCCGGCTTGCCCCCGACCGCTTCGCCCACCCCATTCCTCCAGACCTGGGCTTAGAACCACTGCCAAACCATCCGACAAAAATCAAGCTGGTCAAGTCGAATTCATAGTGGAACCGCTCCGAGCCGAGTATGGAAGGTAACACATACATTGATTTTCGAAGGCCCAGGCATGCTGACAGCTGAAGCAAATCACGCCTGCCTGGGTTGGGCCAACGCCTATAAAAATGTTGAACTCACTTTTGTTCAAACAGCCTGTTGGTTCCCTCGAAAGGCCACCAGGGCCTGGTTGTTCAACAACTTTTGCAACAACTTGCCTGCCACAAAGGCCTGCCATCTTTGCCTGTGGCCAACGTGTCCGCAGCTTGCAGATGGCTCGCGCCCTGGCGCTGCGGAAACCAGGGCTCGGCCTGCGCGGGCGGGGCGCCAGGGTAAACTGCACGGTAACCCTGGCGTTCGGCCAAAACGCAACCCGGCCTTGGCGCTCGTCAGAGCACCTGCCCGGCGGCCAGAACTTCTTGGAGCTCTTCGGCCGCCCTGGCAGCGTGGGGTCGGATGTCTTGCTGCGGTTCCTGCAGCTTTGTCAGCCAGTCGCTGATCGCTGCGTTCCGCGTCTCCACCTTGACGAGGTCCTCCACCGCTTTGACCACGCAGGACGCCGCGAAGACGTCCTACCGCGATAGAATACACTTCTTGCAAACCCGCAAAGCTGACCCAATCGTGCTAACCTGCCGTCCTCTTTGAAGTGGTTGATCCGTGAAATGTCCTGCCACACAGCACCCACAAATTGTCCACAAAGCCTTCCCTGGCATGCGTGTTCATGCTTACGATGATGAGAGGTCCTGGGCACGAAAGTGTTCAAGATTGATCCGGCCCTCGGACAATTCCTCCAAGCTTTGGTGGATCTGGGCGCTGTCGAAGTCGATCAGCACCATCTGCCACCCCAGCCCCAGCCGGCTGCAAACGTTGCGCGCGGAGATGTCGCAATGTGCGACGCAGAAGCTATGTATGTGCTTCAGGGCGTTCAGCAGGGTCACAGCCACATCCTGCACCGCAAACGGGGCCACTGAGCCCGGGAAGCTGATCATGCGGAGCAGTGATGGTCCCAGCATTTCCATGATTATTGCGCTTCTTGCGCTCGTTTCGTCAAAATCAATCACCTGCACCACATGCGGGTGCCCGGCCACGATTTGGAGAATTTCAAACTCCTTCCGCAGCTCTTCGTTCTTCTCATCGCTCACCACCTTCACGGCAACCTTGCGGCCGCCGAATCGGCCCAAGATCACCTGGGCGAGGCCGCCCTTGCCTATGACGGTCTCCATATACGGAGTCGGCGACCGGGCCACCAGCAGTGTGGGCCCAGGCAGCGCCGCTGGCGCCGCCACTCGCCTCTGCCTCTGATGCCTCTGACGGCAGGTGTCGCGCGTCCATCGCCGGCCGAACGTGAAGCCCGCCCCGTACGGGGCCTCATAGGCACCCGGGCCAGGGCCGCTGGGCTGCGGCTTCCGCCACCTTTCTGCCTTCGCAAACATGGCGCCAGGCGCGGGTGCAATTACCTCAACCAATCTGGTAGAAGCGGTTCTTGAAATTGCTGAACTGCTGCTGCGTGGTGTAGAGATGGGTTGGGGTGAAGGGTCAAATGTCCGAACGCAGAACACTGGCATCTGGGTCTGGCACTCATCCCATTCGCCTGCAAGCCTAGATGCACACGAACATGTTCTTTTCCTGGCCATGCTAGGGTCATACCTTGGCACCTCAACACCATGGACGCATGCACACACGTCCGTTTCTGTCTTAAAGGTGTGGGCGCTTCAATCTCTTCAACATAGGCCCACAGAGTCAAATGTTCCACTTGAGCAGCTATGAAAGTAAACAACATTCATGTCTACGTAGCTTGCGCAACGACACTAGGACCGTCATGGCGAACGGGCGAGCGACCAAACGCATGGATTCTTTACATGCTCCTCGTTCACAGCTGCGCCCCAGACAGGCACCAACCGATGTCGCGCCATGGGCTGTGCCCTGCCAGCGTTGGAGGGGAGTGCCGTTCATCAAACAGATTCGTGATCATGCCACACATCCCCACACAGCCATGGCAAGATGTTTTGAGCCAGGCAGTACCTCCAAAGGCAAAGTCTTTGGGCCTGTAGCCACTACACTGCAAACCGAACATCGCCGGCTATCGGTTGGCTTGCGCCTGCGCGCCCACGGCAATAGTCACTGGCTGGCCTGCGGAGGGCAAAGCCGAGCGGCTGCTCCAGGCAGTCATTACGAGAAATCGTTTTGCAAATGGCTCGGGGTGTTCAGAAATTGTGGGACGGCGATTAGTAAGAGAAATGAAGGGAAACCCCACCAGTAAAAATCCATAATTGGAAGATGGCAGACTTCAAGGATGTCTATTCAGGCGGTCCTTAAGGGACTGGAGGTTGTAGACGACATCGGAGCCGTTGTCACATCTGTTTGCAACAAAACAGTTGCTCCACCCTTTTGACAAATGAAGACTATGGACTACGAATGACCAAACATAATTGACTTGTGGGCAGCCTAGCAAACAGCAGTTCTTCAGGATGCGCAGGCCTTGCGCAATGCGTGGCCAAACGGGCCGCCCCGGTCCACGTAGATGGAGTCCGGCTTGCCCCCGACGGCTTAGAACCACTGCCAAACCATCCGACAAAAATCAAGCTGGTCAAGTCGAATTCATAGTGGAACCGCTCCGAGCCGAGTATGGAAGGTAACACATACATTGATTTTCGAAGGCCCAGGCATGCTGACAGCTGAAGCAAATCACGCCTGCCTGGGTTGCGCCAACGCCTATAAAAATGTTGAACTCACTTTTGTTCAAACAGCCTGTTGGTTCCCTCGAAAGGCCACCAGGGCCTGGTTGTTCAACCACTTTGCAACAAACACCTGCACAAAGGGCCTCCTTTTTGCTGTAATCAGCTGGCGAGCGCCGATGGACTAAACTGAAATGCCAACCCGGCCTTGGCGCTCGTCAGAGCACCTGCCCGGCGGCCAGAACTTCTTGGAGCTCTTCGGCCGCCCTGGCAGCGTGGGGTCGGACGTGTTGCTGCGGCTCCTGCAGCTTTGTCAGCCAGTCGCTGATCGCTGCGTTCCGCGTCTCCACCTTGACGAGGTCCTCCACCGCTTTGACCACGCAGGACGCCGCGAAGACGTCCTACCGCGATAGAATACACTTCTTGCAAAACCCGCAAAGCTGACCCAATCGTGCTAATTAGGCGAGCCCTGCCGTCCTCTTTGAAGTGGTTGATCCGCGAAATGTCCTGCCACACAGCACCCACAAATTGTCCACAAAGCCTTCCCTGGCATGCATGTTCATGCTTACGATGATGAGAGGTCCTGGGCACGAAAGTGTTCGAAATTGATCTGGCCCTCGGACAATTCCTCCAAGCTTTGGTGGATCTGGGCGCTGTCGAACAGCCGGCTGCAAACGTTGCGCGCGGAGATGTCGCAGTGTGCGACGCAGAAGCTATGTATGTGCTTCAGGGCGTTCAGCAGCGTCACAGCCACATCCTGCACCGCAAACGGGGCCACTGAGCCCGGGAAGCTGATCATGCGGAGCAGTGATGGTCCCAGCATTTCCATGATTATTGCGCTTCTTGCGCTCGTTTCGTCAAAATCAATCACCTGCACCACATGCGGGTGCCCGGCCACGATTTGGAGAATTTCAAACTCCTTCCGCAGCTCTTCGTTCTTCTTCTCATCGCTCACCACCTTCACGGCAACCTTGCGGCCGCCGAATCGGCCCAGGCCCGGTCAGCGACTCCGTATGTGGAGACCGTACTAGGCAATGCCTATTACGGTCTCCACATACGGAGTCGCTGACCGGGCCGTGGGCCCAGGCAGCGCTGCTGGCGCCGCCACTCGCCTCTGCCTCTGAGGCCTCTGATGCCTCTGACGGCAGGTGTCGCGCCTCCATCGGCGGCCGAACGTGAAGCCCGCCCCGTACGGGGCCTCATAGGCACCCGGGCCAGGGCCGCTGGGCTGCGGCTTCCGCCACCTTTCTGCCTTCGCAAACATGGCGGCAGGCGCGGGTGCAATTACCTCAACCAATCTGGTAGAAGCGGTTCTTGAAATTCCTGAACTGCTGCTGCGTGGTGTAGAGATGGGTTGGGGTGAAGGGTCAAATGTCCGAACGCAGAACACTGGCATCTGGGTCTGGCACTCATCCCATTCGCCTGCAAGCCTAGATGCGCACGAACATGTTCTTTTCCTGGCCATGCTAGCATCATACCTTGGCACCTCAACACCATGGACGCATGCACACACGTCCGTTTCTGTCTTAAAGGTGTGGGCGCTTCAATCTCTTCAACATAGGCCCACAGAGTCAAATGTTCCACTTGAGCAGCTATGAAAGTAAACAACATTCATGTCTACGTAGCTTGCGCAACGACACTAGCACCGTCATGGCGAACGGGCGGGCGACCAAACGCATGGATTCTTTTCATGTTCCTCGTTCACAGCTGCGCCCCAGACAGCACCAACCGATGTCTCGCCATGGGCTGAGCCCTGCCAGCGTTGGAGGGGAGTGCCGTTCATCAAACAGATTCGTGATCATGCCACACATCCCCACACAGCCATGGCAAGATGTTTTGAGCCAGGCAGTACCTCCAAAGGCAAAGTCTTTGGGCCTGTAGCCACTACACTGCAAACCGAACATCGCCGGCTATCGGTTGGCTTGCGCCTGCGCGCCCACGGCAATAGTCACTGGCTGGCCTGCGGAGGGCAAAGCCGAGCGGCTGCTCCAGGCAGTCATTACGAGAAATCGTTTCGCAAATGGCTCGGGGTGTTCAGAAATTGTGGGACGGCGATTAGTAAGAGAAACCAAGGGAAACCCCACCAGTTAAATTCCATAATTGGAAGATGGCAGACTTCAGGGATGTCTATTGAGGCGGTCCTTAAGGGACTGGAGGTTGTAGACGACATCGGAGCCGTTGTCACATCTCGGTACCCAACTCGACGCGTCTGCAACACTGAAGTCCGGCAGAGGCTTGTGCCATCGCTTTGCCAGCTTGCCTCGGTGTCCAATAGGTTTGCAACAAAACAGTTGCTCATCCCATCCCACCCTTTTGACAAATGAAGACTATGGACTACGAATGACCAAACTTAATTGACTTGTGGGCAGCCTAGCAACCAGCAGCTCTTCAGGATGCGCAGGCCTTGCGCAATGCGTGGCCAAACGGGCCGCCCCGGTCCACGTAGATGGAGTCCGGCTTGCCCCCGACCGCTTCGCCCACCCCATTCCTCCAGACCTGGGCTTAGAACCACTGCCAAACCATCCGACAAAAATCAAGCTGGTCAAGTCGAGTTCATAGTGGAACCGCTCCGAGCCGAGTATGGAAGGTAACACATACATTGATTTTCGAAGGCCCAGGCATGCTGACAGCTGAAGCAAATCACGCCTGCCTGGGTTGGGCCAACGCCTATAAAATTGCAAACAGCCTGTTGGTTCCCTCGAAAGGCCAGAATGTCAACAACTTTTGCAACCTGCCACAATTTGCCTGTGGCCAACGTGTCCGCAGCTTGCAGATGGCTCGCGCCCTGGCGCTGCGGAAACCAGGGCTCGGCCTGCGCGGGCGGGGCGCCAGGGTAAACTGCACGGTAACCCTGGCGTTCGGCCAAAACGCAACCCGGCCTTGGCGCTGTCAGAGCACCTGCCCGGCGGCCAGAACTTCTTGGAGCTCTTCGGCCGCCCTGGCAGCGTGGGGTCGGATGTCTTGCTGCGGTTCCTGCAGCTTTGTCAGCCAGTCGCTGATCGCTGCGTTCCGCGTCTCCACCTTGACGAGGTCCTCCACCGCTTTGACCACGCAGGACGCCGCGAAGACGTCCTACCGCGATAGAATACACTTCTTGCAAACCCGCAAAGCTGACCCAATCGTGCTAATTAGGCGAGCCCTGCCGTCCTCTTTGAAGTGGTTGATCCGCGAAATGTCCTGCCACACAGCACCCACAAATTGTCCACAAAGCCTTCCCTGGCATGCGTGTTCATGCTTACGATGATGAGAGGTCCTGGGCACGAAAGTGTTCAAGATTGATCCGGCCCTCGGACAATTCTTCCAAGCTTTGGTGGATCTGGGCGCTGTCGAAGTCGATCAGCACCATCTGCCACCCCAGCCCCAGCCGGCTGCAAACGTTGCGCGCGGAGATGTCGCAATGTGCGACGCAGAAGCTATGTATGTGCTTCAGGGCGTTCAGCAGGGTCACAGCCACATCCTGCACCGCAAACGGGGCCACTGAGCCCGGGAAGCTGATCATGCGGAGCAGTGATGGTCCCAGCATTTCCATGATTATTGCGCTTCTTGCGCTCGTTTCGTCAAAATCAATCACCTGCACCACATGCGGGTGCCCGGCCACGATTTGGAGAATTTCAAACTCGTTCCGCAGCTCTTCGTTCTTCTTCTCATCGCTCACCACCTTCACGGCAACCTTGCGGCCGCCGAATCGGCCCAAGATCACGTGGGCGAGGCCGCCCTTGCCTATGACGGTCTCCTCATACGGAGTCGGCGACCGGGTCACCAGCAGTGTGGGCCCAGGCAGCGCCGCTGGCGCCGCCACTCGCCTCTGCCTCTGATGCCTCTGACGGCAGGTGTCGCGCGTCCATCGCCGGCCGAACGTGAAGCCCGCCCCGTACGGGGCCTCATAGGCACCCGGGCCAGGGCCGCTGGGCTGCGGCTTCCGCCACCTTTCTGCCTTCGCAAACATGGCGGCAGGCGCTGGTAGAAGCGGTTCTTGAAATTGCTGAACTGCTGCTGCGTGGTGTAGAGATGGGTTGGGGTGAAGGGTCAAATGTCCGAACGCAGAACACTGGCATCTGGGTCTGGCACTCATCCCATTCGCCTGCAAGCCTAGATGCACACGAACATGTTCTTTTCCTGGCCATGCTAGGGTCATACCTTGGAACCTCAACACCATGGGCGCATGCACACACGTCCGTTTCTGTCTTAAAGGTGTAGGCGCTTCAATCTCTTCAACATAGGCCCACAGAGTCAAATGTTCTACTTGAGCAGCTATGAAAGTAAACAACATGAATGTCTACGTAGCTTGCGCAACGACACTAGGACCGTCATGGCGAACGGGCGAGCGACCAAACGCATGGATTCTTTTCATGTTCCTCGTTCACAGCTGCGCCCCAGACAGGCACCAACCGATGTCGCGCCATGGGCTGAGCCCTGCCAGCGTTGGAGGGGAGTGCCGTTCATCAAACAGATTCGTGATCATGCCACACATCCCCACACAGCCATGGCAAGATGTTTTGAGCCAGGCAGTACCTCCAAAGGCAAAGTCTTTGGGCCTGTAGCCACTACACTGCAAACCGAACATCGCCGGCTATCGGTTGGCTTGCGCCTGCGCGCCCACGGCAATAGTCACTGGCTGGCCTCGAGCGGCTGCTCCAGGCAGTCATTACGAGAAATCGTTTCGCAAATGGCTCGGGGTGTTCAGAAATTGTGGGACGGCGATTAGTAAAGAGAAAGCAAAGGGAAACCCCACTAAGTGGAAAATGGCAGACTTCAGGGATGTCTATTGAGGCGGTCCTTAAGGGACTGGAGGTTGTAGACGACATCGGAGCCGTTGTCACATCTGGGTACCCATCTCCACGCGTCTGCAACACTGAAGTCCGGCAGAGGCTTGTGCCATCGCTTTGCCAGCTTGCCTCGGTGTCCAATAGGTTTGCAACAAAACAATTGCTCATCCCATCCCACCCTTTTGACAAATGAAGACTATGGACTACGAATGACCAAACATAATTGACTTGTGGGCAGCCTAGCAACCAGCAGCTCTTCAGGATGCGCAGGCCTTGCGCAATGCGTGGCCAAACGGGCAGCCCCGGTCCACGTAGATGGTGGGCTGCCCGAATTCTCCTGCCAGGAAGGTGGGCAGTGCAGATCGATCACAAAGAAGCGAAAGAGGGCTTCGCAAAATTAGACTCAAGAGGGAGCTTTGTGGAAGGGGTCCTTTGTGAAAGGGGTCCCTCCTTTCGAGACCTCGCTCAACCTTTCGAGGCGAAAATGGGCAACGGCCGTTTCGCGTGGGACAGCCAAGGAGTTGTATTCGGAGCCTTTTTGAGGTTGTGCCCAAGGGAAAGCAAAGGAAACACCACTTGTTTTTGGTCTCCCGCATTTGGAGACAAATCCATATCACCGGCCGCCGGCTTTTCCCTGGGGCGCACATGCACATGCGCGTTCATTGGCATCCTACTGGAGGCACTGCGATGGAGCTGCTCGTGACACCCGCTTGTCTTGTTCACTTCCGCCCAAATAAGAGTCACTCACCTCCCGTTATTGCACTTGCCATGTCTTGGGGTCGCTCATTTTGAACAAACCCTCATCTGGTTGAGTCATAAAGCAAAATAACAAATGGCTAACTCTTGATCATCCTGGTGAATACCAGTTATTCCTGAAGCAGGGGTGAACTAAAACGGAACCTCCATCGTGAGGTCGCAAACAATTTGCACCCTCCCCCCGTTGCCATGATATGCCCAGGATGGTGCTGGTCAAAGTCGGGGTGCCATTCAAATGTGGAAATGGAAGCCACACAGAAAACCGTGGAAAGAAAACCAGCCATTTGTGGGGCTCCCCTATTTTGGAAACCCCAATGCGGAATGCAACACGTAGATCAACGACTGGCGTCTGAACCATACACACTAGCATGACGCAGGCCGTGTCTCACAGCTACATCCACACGCACCCAAAGCAAGTGTCACATGTGAGGCGAAGGGGCTTCAAACCCACAGCAATAAGTTGATCAGCTCAAGCTCCATCCCACATTCTCCATTGCACCTTTCATTGGCGCGCGGGCTTCACACCTGCCTGGCCATTGGCCGAGCTCCTACCAGATGCGCCCCACGCGCCAAGTCCGAAGCTCCAATTCCAAACTCTTCCTACAGGAATGGTCCTGGGAGTCCACCCACGTCGATGAGAACTCCTACGCCATGCGCCTTAGTACCCTCACAACCACAGGCGCAGGGTCTTTGGGAAGATCTCCCTGGGGATCTCCAAACCGTTGCCGCCCAGGTCCAGCGACTCCAACCTCGGATTGAACCCGGATCCGGCTGACCGGCTGACCGGTGGTACTTGTTGCGTAAATGAGGTTGGGCCATGGTCCTGGGATACTGTTCTTTCATTGGCCGTGATGCGTCATGTTTTGGGGCATGGAGACTTGTCATGTGATTTGGGAATTTGGGAGCAAGGAATGCGGAGAAAAGCTTGGGCCCGCTTCAAATCCTTGGCTTCCTGCTTCTGGATCCCATCCTCCAGGGTCAATGACTTGGTCGCTTGATATCACGCCCTGATTGAGAAGCCCCAAGGCGCCTGGGAAGTGCTGGCAGCGCAGCGGCCAGTGCCTTGCCGCAACACAACGGGCAACGTTCAAAGAGTTTCGTTCCTGGCCGCTCCCTTCAACTTTGTGAGGTACAGAGCGCGGCAACCAGGTGAGTTTTCCTGATGCAAGACCCAGGATTGAACACACCTTGAATCCTTGCAAGGGCTCCTTTGGCTCTGGAGTGCCGGGACTGTTCGGTACACATTGGCTTGAGATTGAGGGGCTTTGAGAGCTGATCCATGGGTTTGGTAATAAGATTGTTGAGGGGCTGCTTTGAGAGCTGATCCAGTGTGAGTTCATCTAGGGCTGCTTTGCATGTTTTGAGTCAGGCTGATTCAAGCTTAAGTTTTTGGGGTGGGCATGGATTGGTTGAGGACGGAGTGAAGCTTAGTCTGACAAAAGATTGTGCGTGTGTTGTCGAGGATTTGGAGGGTTGATGGCTCTAGCTCTCTGAAGCATTGGCAATGAAATCAACGCAACTTGTATGGGAGCCACCCACTGGAATCTGCTAGCAGGCAGGGCAACATGGGCATGATAGCCTACCTGTGAGCATTTGTCGCAATGCACCGCGAAAGAAAATTCTGAAAGCGGGGGAGTGAATCTTGGGCTCCCTCAGGCCCTCCCAAGCTCGAAAAAAGACCGCACCCGGACCTGTGCTTTAGTTCCAAAGATCGAAATCACGGTCCGATCCGGTCACAATGCCCATGGAGCCGCGCCTCTGCAGAAGCGGCCCCGAGGCGGTTGCCCCTGAGGTTCAGGCGCCGCAGCTTGGAGGAGCGTAGGGCGTCGATGAGCACGGCCAGGCCTGAACTTCTCTCACTGCCCTCTCCCTCTCAAGACATGCACTTGCGGCAAAAGGTACGGACTCCCTCACGAAAAAACGAAAGTGGAGAGTCGGGGAGCATGGAGTTCCCGCGACGTTTCAGTCTCCAGCCTTGGTCCTCCAAAGCGCAGCTTCGCAGCTGCAGGCGCGCCACCTGCCGGAGCTGCGGCCAGGCCGCCAGCTCCCGGGCACCTGGACGCGTTTCGGACGCACTCAGCGCACGAAGAACCCGAGGCTAGCAGTGGCCAAATGCGCTTATGGGCTTCAGCTTCCCTCGTGAGGTCTTACACGAACCTTGAAAACAAATGGCAGAACCTCGCTTTATGCGCGCAAGTAAAGGATGTGACAAAACAAAACTGGGCGGAATTGTGCCATCTCCAAAGTGCGCCATCCCCATGACTACCTGATTGTTGTAAAGCAGGTTTGGTATCACAACAACTGGCCCTAAAGAAACCCCTTCTTGAAAAGGACAAATCTGCAAAATCAAGGACACTGGAAATCACACAATTGCGGCGTTTGCTTTGAAGCATGATTGTGAATGTCCATGCGTTTAGTTGGCGACTCGTTGAAAGGTTGCTAACAAATGGGTTCGATTCGGACGCGGACAACATATTTTTGGTGGGACCAACTCGTTTCTTGGAACCCCTTCACAGGTCTGATTTTGCTCACTGAGTGGGGGTCCCGGACCCCCCCCCATGGGTGGTTTCCTCTGAGTGTCCCTTTAAACCCAAAAGGAGAACCTCCCCCCCAAAAAGGGGGCCCTCAAAAACCACACGCCCAAAAGTGGCTTGCATCTTTCCCAGAGCCTGAGAGGCCCAGTGCCATTCCACCGAGGTCCAGGACACCATCCTTGCGCAGGGCCTCAGCCGGAAAACGAGGGAAGTGAGTGGCACCGCGCCCAGGAAATTTGGACAGCTGCTTTTGGGTGAAAAACACAATTTAATTAACGACTCGGAAAGGAAACAAGGTTGCAGACCAACAGGGAAATCGGACGATTTCTCGGCGCCTTCCCAAATTCCTGCAAATAGAGTGTCCAAACTCCTTTGGACCAATCGTGATGTGGGTTTGCGGAATTCCGCTTGGTGTACCAATTGCGGCCTCGATGGACATTGCCGAACATATCGGGCCACTCAGAGGCAGAGTCCATTCGGACAGCGGACAGAATTACTTGTTTCCGTACAGGGAGATGGGAAACTGGCAACTGATAGCTAGGCTTTGTGAGGAATTTGGGAGCTTGGGCTGCCTCACCCCTTTCTCGGACGAATATTCTGGCCCAGGACTCATGTCCGAGTTCCCCAAAAGGGTGCGTTGGCAACTCCATCCAAAGGTGGGCAGTTGACTCTCGCAAGAGCTCAGGCGCACGCATCTTTGAAGAACGACTGCTCTCTGCTGACCACCGCCAGACTCGGCCGCTCGGACGAGCGCCTTGGCTTCCTCGGCTGAGAAGGCATACAAAAGCATGCCCCTTGCTGGTTGCCTTGACTTCCCGATTTAGCTGGGTAGAAGTGAATGTGTCCCGTTTTGTATGCCTATTGCGTAGCAATGGCAAGGGCAATGACAAGTGCCTTGACGTACCCAGTACAAGGAATGGATGCATTGCTCCATCCACTTTTGCTACATAGGGACTCCATCCGGGCTCGAAGGCAGCTTCTTCCAAGCCACGCCGGGCCCCGCTGGCGGCGGCCGCGTCCGGAGAGCCGCGCGGCGCGAAGGCTTTGGAGGAGGGCCATGACTCGAGACAAAAACGGCGGGAGACGAAGCAAGGGCCAGCAAAGGCCGAGCACCAAAGTACAGAACGGGTAACCTGCTTCGCCGCGCCCATCTGCCTGAATGCGGAGATTGGAGAGCATGCAACAGATGGACGATGTCAAGTTTATATATATATATATTATATTATATATATATATTATATTATATATATATAAGATACTGGGAGGTCGGAATTCATCGAATGGGGTACCCAAAATGGATGATTTCCACACTCCACTCCACAGAAAACCGCCCCTGAGTCATCCCGCGACATGAAATCTGAAGACACGAAAGGCTCCGCGGCGATACAAGAAGCAGGGCCAGCCGACCACCCCACTCCTCCAGCGCCCGGCGGCGAGCTCGTGCTCTTCCAGGCACCGTGCATGCACCTGACCGATCCGACGGCGGATACCCGAACAACAACCTGGACGGTTGAAAATGAGAGAAACTTAAGTTAGTCGAATGAGCAAAAATGAAAATGTGGGAAAGCCAACACGGCAAACTAGAAGGGAAGCTAAGCCTGGTCGTGTCAAGCAGACCTGTCACAAGGAGACTAATGGTGCTGTAAAGGGAAGCTGGATGGAATCACTCAATTTGACACCCCTACTTAGAGCCCACCTTTGGCCCAGCTTTTGGGGCCGGTCTGAAAGCATCCGTCGAAATTGCTTTGCCGCGGCCGTGACGGCGTTTGAAAGGAAGCTAATCCACACCCACCCAGAAGGCACAGGTATGTGTGCCAAACAAGTCTTAATGACACGGGTATATATGTCCCATACAAGTTCTGAGAGTTTCCAATGTCATTTGTGTCATTTGATGCTAACGCCAAAACAACTTTGGCCGTATCTCAAAAACCCGAGCTTCATTCTTGCTACGTCTAGTAACATGCGAGTATTGCTTGACCATGCTCTCCACTGCAAAGAAAATACGGATATAAGGTTCCGGTTGTGCCCTGCTGGAACTTTGCTTTCTACCGAATGCGCGGATGACCTACAGATCGTAGCTGGAATTTCATGCACTCATTGTGTTAAGACCTCTTTTGCTCGACGTAGAACCAGCTGAGCCAACTCTCCCTCTTGCAAGCATCTACAGCATCAGCTCCAAGTTTCACCATTTGTGCAGTAGTTTGGAAAGATCTTTCACCCGCTCCTGCGTTTGGTCGCTTGCCCAAATCTGCGCTATAGGGGACTCATTCGGTCCTGAAAAGCTGATACTTTGGGCCACACACCATTTGTCAATAGATGGAACCGTGTCAAATGGAAACTCACATTGCAATCCAGTGTCCCTCAAGCTTTCAGGATTCCACTTGTCTCTTAATACGTCAACAATTGAACTTGCGTCTCAGCAACTCATAGATACACAATGACAACTACTAGCATCATTGCCAGGCACAAATTAGCTGGAAGCTACGGCTCACAGAAAGCGCTTCCTCTTCGAGGCTTTGGATCGTCTTCCAAATAAATCCAAGATCATCCACTAATTAGTGGCCGGAACATCCCGTGCTCTATTGATCTGGGCAAACTCTGGTTCGGGCCCCTGTTGGGGAGTTCTGTGCAAAGCGGGGGAAAGCGGCAAGGACGGATTTTGGAGAACCCCAAACAAGCGGCTTGGCATGATCCAAAAGCTCAGTTCGCCAACCCCTTAGCGGCCGTAGCGACCTCCCCGCCTCCCCACAGGCTCGAACGGCGCGTCAGTCGGAGAGGGCTTCAGACAGGTCTCCTGGCGACTTCCAGCCGAAAACACTGAAGCCATCTGTGTGCGATGCAAAGCATCGCACGCAGATACGTCGAATGGCACCCCTGCCAGAATATGGAGGCTTACATTGTTTGACGGGGTTGGCTGGCTGCTCAAAGTTGACCAACTGTCCCGTTGGGTAGTTTAGCATAGCAAATCTCTTGAGGATTGTTTGAATTAAAGTAAGTAAAGTCATTCTTGTAGACGATAGCCCTGCTTATCAAGACTTTATCTCCGCTTCCAACTAGACCAAAAAAGGAAGAGTACTTGTTTCGCAAATGGTTCGGGGTGTTCAGAAATTGTGGGACGGCGATTGGTCACCAGCTGGATTTTATGAGTGGAAGATGGCAAACTTCAGGGGTGTCTGTTGAAGCGGTCCTGAAGAGACTGGAGGTTGTAGACGACATCGGGGCCGTGGCACATCTGGGTACCCATCTCCACGCGTCTGAAAGTCCGGCAGAGGCGTGCGCCATCGCTTTGCCAGCTTGCCTCGGTGTCCAACAAAACAATTGCTCATCCCATTCCGCCCTTTTGACAAATGAACACTATGGACTACGAATATCCAAACTGAATTGACTTGTGGGCAGCCTAGCAACCAGCAGCTCTTCAGGATGCGCAGGCCTTGCGCAACGCGTGGCCAAAAGGGCCGCCCCGGTCCACGTAGATGGAGTCCGGCTCGACCCCGACCGCTTCGCCCACCCTTTTCCTCCAGACATGGGACCACTGCGAAACCATCCGACCAAAATCAAGCCGGTCAAGTCGAATTCATAGTGGAACCGCTCCGAGCCGAGTATGGAGGGTAACAAATACATTGATTCTTGAATAGAAAGCTAGGTGGCCCAGGCAGGCTGAGAGCTGAAGCAAATCACGCCTGCCTGGGTTGGGCCAACGCCTATAAAAGTTGAACTCACTTTTGTTCAAACAGCCTGTTGGTTCCCAAGAAAGGCCACCAGGGCCTGGTTGTTCAACAACTTTTGCAACAACTTGCCTGCCACAACGGCCTGCCATCTTTGCCTGTGGCCAACGTGTCCGCAGCTTGCAAATGGCTCGCGCCCTGGCGCTGCGGAAACCAGGGCTCGGCCTGCACGGGCGGGGCGCCAGGGTAAACTGCACGGTAACCCTGGCGTTCGGCCAAAAAGCAACCCGGCCTTGGCGCTCGTCAGAGCACCTGCCCGGCGGCGAGAACTTCTTGGAGCTCTTCGGCCGCCCTGGCAGCGTGGGGTCGGACGTGTTGCGGTTCCTGTTGAAGACTCCGTCCGCTTTGTGGACAATTTGCGGGTGCTGTGTGGCAGGACATTTTGCGCATCAATCACTTTGTGGTTGATGCGCGAAATGTCCTGCCACACACGAAAGTGTTCAAAATTGATCTGGCCCTCGGACAATTAATTCCTCCAAGCTTTGGTGGATCTGGGCGCTGTCGAAGTCGATCAACACCATCTGCCACCCCAGCCCCAGCCGGCTGCAAAGGTTGCGCGCGGAGATGTCGCAGTGCGCGACGCAGAAGCTATGTATGTGCTTCAGGGCGTTCAGCAGGGTCACGGCCACATCCTGCACCGCAAACGGGGCCACTGGGCCCGGGATGCTGATCATGCGGAGCAGTGATGGTCCCACCCGCATGTGGAGCTTGATGGAACTGGTGCAAGAAGCGCCATGATCCGACCATGGCGCTTCTTGCAGTTACATCAAGCTTGATCGCCTTCACCACATGCGGGTGCCCGGCCACGATTTGGAGAATGGCAATTCAATCTCGTCACAGAGGCCCACAGAGTCAAATGTTCTACTTGAGCAGCTATGAAAGTAAACAACATGAATGTCTACGTAGGTTGCACAACAACACTAGGACCGTCATGGCCGAACGACGACCGACCAAGCGCATGGATTCTTTTCATGTTCCTCGTTCACAGCTGCGTTCCAGACAGGCACCAACAGATGCCATGGGCTATGCCCTGCCAGCGTTGGAGGGGAGTGCCATTCATCAAACAGATTCGTGATCATGCCACACATTCCCACACAGCCATTGCAAGATGTTTTAAGCCAGGCAGTACCTCCAAAGGCAAAGCTTGTTCGCCGCGTAGCCACTACACAGCAAACCGAAGGGCGAGAACACATTGCGGGGTGTCGGTTGGCTTGCGCCTGCGCGCCGCGTCAATAGTGACTGGCTGGCCTGCGGAGGGCAAAGCCGAGCGGCTGCTTCAGGCAGTCATTACACACGGCGTACTCCCGCAAAACTAACGTAGAACTTCAAAATGAGGTTTCTGAAGGCGCTATTCAAGTTCTCGGCGGTAGACATTAGGCAAAGAGGACAGCTGCTGCAATGTCGAATGGCACCTCTGGCAGAAAAGGGAGGCTTACATTGTTTGACGGGGTTGGCTGACTGCTCAAAGTTGACCAAGCGTCCCGTTGGGAACAAGTTGAGCAAAGGCACCATCCAACCAACAGTCTAGTTTAGCAAAGCAAATCTCTTGGGTGGGGATTGTTTGAAGTAATGTAATTCTTGTCGAGGATAGCCCTGCTTATGACTAGATCTTCACTTTCCCTCAAAGCAAAAACTAGACCAAACAAGGACGAGTACTCATCTTGCATATGGTTCGGGGTTTTCAGAAATTGTGGGATGACGATTAGTAAAGAGAAACCAAGGGAAACCCCACCACTTTGAATTCAATCCTTAAGACAATTTGCTCATCCCATCCCACCCTTTTGACAAATGAACACTATGGACTACGAATGACCCAACATAATTGACTTGTGGGCAGCCTAGCACCCAGCAGCTCTTCAGGATGCGCAGGCCTACAGGGCCGCCCCGGTCCACGTAGATGGAGTCCGGCTCGACCCCGACCGCTTCGCCCACCCCATTCCTCCAGACCTGGGCTTAGAACTACTGCCAAACCATCCGACAAAAATCAAGCTGGTCAAGTCGAATTCATAGTGGAACCGCTCCGAGCCGAGTATGGAAGGTAACACATACATTGATTTTCGAAGGCCCAGGCATGCTGACAGCTGAAGCAAATCACGCCTGCCTGGGTTGGGCCAACGCCTATAAAAATTGAACTCACTTTTGTTCAAACAGCCTGTTGGTTCCCTCGAAAGGCCACCAGGGCCTGGTTGTTCAACAACTTTTGCAACAACTTGCCTGCCACAACGGCCTGCCATCTTTGCCTGTGGCCAACGTGTCCGCAGCTTGCAGATGGCTCGCGCCCTGGCGCTGCGGAAACCAGGGCTCGCCCTGCGCGGGCGGGGCGCCAGGGTAAACTGCACGGTAACCCTGGCGTTCGGCCCAAAAGCAACCCGGCCTTGGCGCTCGTCAGAGCACCTGCCCGGCGGCCAGAACTTCTTGGAGCTCTTCGGCCGCCCTGGCAGCGTGGGGTCGGACGTGTTGCGGTTCCTGTTGAAGACTCCGTCCGCTTTGTGGACAATTTGCGGGTGCTGTGTGGCAGGACATTTCGCGCATCAATCACTTTGTGGTTGATGCGCGAAATGTCCTGCCACACACAAAAGTGTTCAAAATTGATCTGGCCCTCGGACAATTAATTCCTCCAAGCTTTGGTGGATCTGGGCGCTGTCGAAGTCGATCAACACCATCTGCCACCCCAGCCCCAGCCGGCTGCAAAGGTTGCGCGCGGAGATGTCGCAGTGCGCGACGCAGAAGCTATGTATGTGC